CACAAAGCAGAGGATTTCTTTCCTCTTTACTCCTTTCCCCCACCCCTAAATAGCCAAGAAAACAAATGAAGAGAAGCAAACAATAGGAATGAAAAACCAGCACAAAGATAAAAACGCTGCCACCTAAAATCTCAGAGAAAATAGGTGGAAAATGTTTTTTTCCCCTAGAATAATGCTAAAAGAAGGGAATCAATGTCACAACACATGTGAAATCTGACTCCCATCATTACCTGTGTTTGGATAAGGGTCTCACTTTGAGGATTTCTGACTCAAAATCTCACATGGGATAAAGCCTTCACTTATAGTGGCTCTGTTTCTTATTTAAAACAGTAAGTCTTCCTTAGCTCCACAAGTCAGCTAAGTCACATGATAGGGAAAGCAATGGAGAATCTTAACCTAAAAGCAATGGGGATGTTGCCAATTTTTACCATTTGGGATATTAACAAGTTTAACATGGCTCAGCAACTATCTAAGTGTTACATCAACTATTATGACACAAACCAAGGGTGTTGAAATGTAAAGATCTGTGTTTTCTGAGAGGAAATGGGTGACAATTTGAAAGGTTGATTTTTTAACATGAAGAATAAATATACAAGAATTCAGAACAGATTCTCAACCAACATTTATGTATAATAAATTTCATGGTTAAAAGAGTTTTTTGTACTTTTATAATTCTCTTTCAGAGAACTAATTTTGATTCATTTTTTTAAATGTAGGAAATGACAGTGTTTTGAAAGAAAAAATACATGTAGTGATATTTTAATAAAGTTTTACAATCAAAAGATATTATTCATTAGAGATGGACTCTTTATTATAATATCATATGAGTTATGAATCAGGGAACACTGAACCATATGTGCATCCAAGGTGCTTGCCATTGTCATAGAGGATATCCAGTGCAAAGTTCAAAGGGAAGAGAGATTTCCTTTATTTAATTAGATCCTCCAGATCCCCCTGTTTGGGTTGATTTCATCAAACTCCAGAAATCTGCAAAACCTCCTAAATGAGATTCACAATCACTCCAAAGAGTTCAATCTAACTATCCACATGAGAAAAACTAAATGGATGAAGAATGCCTATTGTCTGGAACAGTGGTGTCAAACTGGATGGAGTGAGAGAAAGGGAAGGAAGAAGGGAGGGATTAAGCATAAATAAGGATCCCAGTGAGCCACATATTGACTTAGAAAACCACATTGTGGCCCACAAACTACATGTTTGACACTTCTGGTCCAACATGTATTATATAGTTTTTAGCCCTGTCATCTCAAGAGATATAGAAGACCCTAGAGGATGGGTGGACTTTTGTGGAAGATTTACAGGAGGACACAGAAAATTCAACAAGTATTTATTTATATATATTCACCTATTAGGTGTTAGTAACTATGCTAGGCACTTGGGATACAAGTACAAAGAACAAAACAATCCTTACTCACAAAGAGCTTACCTTCTAAGGAAGAAGATAACAAATAGATATTTAAATACATAGATACAGATATAAAACAGAAAGACAAAGTGAATAAATACAACCATATACAAAATAAGTAAATACCACTAGGGCGCTACTAGTTGGAAGAATCAGGAAAAGGCTTCCTGAAAAAGATGGTGCATGAGCCACATCTTAAAGGGGAAAAGAGACGGTGAAATGTGGAGGCAAGGATACAGCATATTACAGTCTCAGAGAATGGCCAATTACAAGGTACAAAAACGAAAGCTAGAGTACTTATGAAGAAGAGAGAAAAGTTTGCCTGCGAAAAGCTTGCCTGGCCCCACGGGGATCCAACTGTCCAGGTCCAATTGAGCAACTCCTTGCTTAACCTCACCTCACCTCAGGGTGCTCTGCCCAAAGGAAGGTAGATAAAGCACAGGAGGGAGAGCAATGTCTAATGAGTCTGGCAAGATGGGCTGATGCCAATTGCATAGGGCTTTAAAAACTAAACAGAAGAGTTTTATTTGATTGTGGAAATAATAGGAAGCTACTTAAATTGGTGGAGCAGAGGAGTCACATAGGCAGATATATACTTAAGGAGAGTTTCTTAGCACTAATGTGTAGAACAGACTAGTGTGAGGAGAAATGAGGCAGGAAGACTAATTAGAAAGCTGTCTTAATAACCTACATGAGAGGTGATGAGAGCCTGAATTAAGATGCTAGCTGTGTGAGTAGAGAGAAGCGGTCAGATGTGAGAGATATGTGAAGATAGAAATGACAAGATTTGGCCATTGATTGTACAGGTGGGTGAAGGAGGATGAGGAGTCCAGAATAATGGCAAGGTTACGCTGTGGGAGACTGCAAGTATGGTGGTGCCTTTGTTAAAAATAGGAAGTTTAGAAAAAGGGAGAGTTTTAGGAGGAAATAAGATGTCTCCAAGTCGTCCAATTTTAAATTCCTAATAGGCACTTAGTGATATGGTACTGAAGCTTAGGGGAGAGACTTGGCCTGGATATGAAGACCTGGAAGTCATCTAAATAGAGAACATAGTTAAACCTATGGGAGCTAATGAAGTTACCAAGAAGAGCATTTTTGAGGTAGAAAACAAGAAGGTTAAGGTCAGAACCTTGTGAAACATCCACAATTACAGACCATGATATGGATGATGAGCCAGCAAAGGAAACTGAGAAGCAGACAGGAAGGCGGAGAACCAGAGAGGAAAAGGTATCCAGGAGGAGAGGGTCGTTAATCGTGTCAAATACAAGAGACAGGTCAAGAAGAATAAGGACTGGGAAAAGACCATCAAATTTGGTCATTAAAATAGAAGTCATACAGGATGAAAAAAATATAAACAAATTAAAATCAGCATCAGGAGAGGGAATGGCCACATTGCTAAGATCACAGAATGATTCAAGTATCAAAGTAGCTCAAAAATCTCTTTTTAAGTGAAAATAATTTAGATCAATATTGTTTCTTTATCTTTCTTAAAGTCTGCTCAGCAGAAAAAAAAAAGTGCTTCCAGAGGTATATTTCGTCAACTTGGACATATAAATTCTTGATGAATTTCACAATCTATAAGAAGGTCAAGAACATTCTGAAGGTCAATTTGAGTCAGAGACTCCTTCATGCCTACCTACTGTGCTCTGTAAAGGGTGCTTTGTCATTTCAAGAAAAGAAGAATCTCAGGATTAGAAGGACCCCTAGGAGTCTACTCTACAAAAACATCCTATCCACAACATTACTTAACAGAGTTACAGAGCCTCTTCATGAACACTTTCAGTGATGGGTAACTTATACTCCATTAGGTAAGGAACTCACTATCTCATTTAGGTAGATAATATGGTGGCCAGTGGAAACAGCATTGGCCCTGAACAGAGGAGAACCTAAGTTCAAATCTCACCTGTGATGTTTACTATCTCTATGACCTTGGGCAAGACACTTGACTTCCACAGACTCCAGTTTCATCCTCTGTAAAATGAATAGGCTGAACCAGAGGGCCTGTGAGGTCCCTTCTAGCTCTAGATATAGGGCCCTAGATAGAACATTCTTCTTCTGTACATCCCTGATTGTTATAAAGTTCTTCATAAAGAGCTTAAATTTCCCTTCCTATAAATTCTACTTTTGTGCAACTTCTTCTCCGGAGCTCCACAAAAACAAATCTAATCCCTTTTCCAAAACAAATAGTTCTCTAACTATCTTAAGGTCCACTGCCAGCTAATTTGGGTGGCAGAATGGACTTTGCCAGAGATTTAAATAGTATATATTGTGACAGGAAGAGAGTTATTGCCTATTAACAAGTACCCCAAATCTCTCCACAATTCCCTTTTCCAAACTAAACATCCCCAATTCTTTCATCTAGTCACCATATGATTATGGTTTTGGTTCTCTCACTATCCCATTCACACTCTTTTTTATTAAATGTCATTGGGTCTTGTCAATGTGCTTCTTAAAATGTGATCGTCAAAACTGAATGCAACAATGCAGTTATGGGGTGACCAGCCTAAAGATCAGTGAAACTATCATCTTTCGTATTCTGGATACACAGCTTCTATTAATAGTAGCTAAAACAACATTCTCTACTTTGACAGTCATGTCATACCACTACCTCATACTGAGCTTGGTGTCAATTAAACCCCTACCTCCTTTTGAAAGCAGAACCACATCTCCCTTGCTCTGCCCTTCTGTGTTTTTTGAACCTATGGACAAGACATCACATTCGTCCCTCTTAAATTCGATCTTGCCATACTCAGTTTGTATTTTCAGACTGTTGAAATCCTCTCAGATCCAAGTTTAACTTATCCAAAATAATCTTCCTAGTATGTGTCATCTGCAAATTTGATCAGCCAGCTAGCCATGTCTTCAGAGATGTGTTGATACAAATCTTTAACAGGATTGAGATGAGAAGAGAGATCTAAGTCATGGCCCTACAGGACTTCTCTAGGTTGCCCTAATTCATAAATCAACATTCTTTGGGTTTAGTTGTTCAACAACCTACAAATCTACCCAACTGCGCTATCGTGGTCTGAAAAAACACATATATTTGGTGCACATGCTATGTGTACCATGTGCACACATGCAATGTGTGCTGTTAAGTGTTCAACACCCAGTTCTCCAAAAAAAATTTTTTTAAGTATACATGATACATTTTTAAATTTAATTAATAAATTTAATTTATTATTAATATTTCCTCCATCACTTTCTTAAGGCTAGACAATTAAGAAAAAATAAATCAAGCCCTGATTTGTAGCACTTGCCAGTTTCCAAGGCAATTTAACAATCAGCTCTGGTGAGGACCCAGGACAAGCCAGCTCTACATGTCTGTGTACAACCCAATGTGTATTCTCACCTAGAAATCCATAGATGACCTTTTGAAAATCAGCTGCTTTGACAACTTAGTAATTTTATCACGACTCACAAAATTCCAAGCTATTTTTATTTTCTAAAAAAGAAAATGTTCACTCTTAAGAAAATGCAAAGTTATTACAAGCACTCTGTTATTACAAGCCATTGGGTCTAGCACAGTCACATGAAGATCCCCAGTGTTCAAAAGCTGTATTTGTACCCTTTTACTTACTTGAATAAAGGAGTCCCGCATACAACACACTTGTACATTCCATGATCTTTATGACTTGTATATTTTCCTTCAAAGGCACTGAGAAGCAAACAAACAAACAAATAAGCACTTGAAGGACAAATAAGGTAACATCTTTCTCATAAAGTTACAAGGCTGGAGCAACTTTCTCTAATAAAACTCTTTTAAAATTCATGAGGATCAACTCATCCCAAAATGAAGAATTAATAATATAAAAACTGGAATATCACAAATTTATCTTAATTTTTTCTGTAGAAGGGAACAGGCACAGAAACACATCAAAAGAGCACAGGTTTGGAGTCAAATTCTCTAGTTAAATAATTCACAGAAAGAGTCTTTTCCTTTTCAAAAATGGTCTTTTTTTAAAAAATGGCTATACTTTAAATTGAGCATTGTCTTACTCAACCAAGGGTAAGTTTTTGGAGTCTCTGAAGTGTCCCTTCCAGGAGTAACTGTCAGAACATGAAGTTGAGGCCAAGACTCCAAATTGGAGGAGCCTTATTTTTTGGTTTGAGGAGGAATATTGAAGCTTTAAGGGAATATTTTTCTAAGTTAACAATCTTAAAGGCTAGGAGGTCATTCAGTTAATACAAATCAGCTGTGCTAGCCCAACAAAAAGTCTATGTGTGCTACAGCTTGTTTTTATTATACCTTCACCCTCTTTATGAGGTCCAATTTTTTTATAAACAGAATTTTTAAGAATGACCTAATCTCTGGTTGTTTGTGGGCATTAAATCATTTGTTAGTCGTGTACACAACAGCCATGATCTGGGTAGAACTCCTAAGCCGAGACCAAGGTCCACTGCCAGCTAATTTGGGTGGCACAATGGACTTTGCCAGAGATTCAACATTTGGTCAATTCAGTAAATAGTATATACCGTGACAGGAAGAGAGTTGTTGCCTATTAACGAGCACCCCATGTGTGGTAAAGAGCCCTTTCACGTCTTGAATAGAAACAAGCAGTTACATCATTAATAAATCTGGATCAGAGGTGAGTTAGGGCCTTGTGCCAAGCTCCATGGTATAAATTAGACAACAAAATGGTTAGACCTTGGCAAGTTTACCTTTGAGCTGGAATCAGCTGAGAGAGACCTTATTCACTAAAAACAGTCTTGAAAGGGAACACACTCCTTTTTTTTTTCAGGATGTAGGGCGAACTTCCAAGGACTAAAGCCATGTGAGGGCAGTTATTGAAAATTTTTGACATTCCAACCACAAATGAGCCAATAAATACTTTCTGCACATGTGCTTCAAAAAGAAATTGGAGTGGGGTGGAAAGGAACTAAATTATGCTACTTTCTTTTTGCAGCCAAAATGTCTGTACTTACAATGGCCACCTTCAAAATTTCATCATCCTGGTGCAGGGCTGTTGTTCCTCAAGCTTTTGCTTAATGTGATGCTTTCCTCCCTCCCCCCGCCAAAACCACCTAAATCGCTCTGACTTACACACATTTCAGAGTAAATGAAAGGCAAGTCCTTAACAAAAGTGCTGTGACTTTAGGGGGAAGATGTAGTAGTAGTATTCATCAACCAAGGGGGGAGAAAATAAATAAAACATACCACAGACTTTTCCAGCATAATTTCTGTCTTTTCAGTGATATTAATGTGTAGAGGTTAGCAAATGTGCAGAATTCTTAACAACAGTCAGTGAGGAAGACAAAGAAACGAGGAGTTATGAGGGGGGCGGGGCGGGAAGAGAGAGAGAGAGGTTCGGTCGGCTCACCTCTCAGTGCCTTTCTCCTGAGTGACATGGTACTGCAGGGGTGTTAGTCGCTTCTTCAATTCCTGCTGGGAAAAGACCACCTTACAGTTCTTTCTATCCCTACATGACCCTAGAAAAAAGAGAGGATATGGGAGAAGGAGCCTTTTTAGGTTAAATCCTGAATAATTGCTTTGGCCGGCGGCCACAGCAAAGCTTCTGCATTCACTTGTCAATGACCAGACCGGTCCCTAATGCCCGAGAATGGCTCAGCTGAACTGCCCTTGATTATTTCAGCAAGTCCGAGTTTTAAAAGAATGCTGCTCAAGAGCAAGGTGATTCCACTGGAGCAGGGACAAGGTGCTTCGCCAAAGCCTACTGGATGGGATACCAGATTTTTTTGAGATAACTATTCATTTGATGGCAGCGGCCATCCTCTCAAACCCGCCCCCCCCCCACAAAACACACACTTCATTTAAAAAATTGTTTTGAAAATGTTTTTAACATACTGTACATACAGAGTAATGGGCATATGATCATAGGTCGAGTATTGGCAAATTGTGACTTCCCTGAGGTGTCTCTGTCACACGTGGAGGATATCAGGGATTGGATTTGAACCCAGGTTCTCTGATTCCGCAGCCAGTGTTCTTTCTATTGTATTTCCAAATGGCTGCCTAGCAAATTAAACCTCCCACCTGGCAAGCAGCGATTTTACAACCTTGCAGTATGGCTTAAAATCGAAAATTATTAAATTTCTATCCTGAGCGATTTAACTACTCCCATATTGTTGTGGGTTTTTTTTTTTCCTTATGCCTACAGATATAGTTTCCATTTACTACCAAGTTATTCTCAGTCATTCTATCCGGTCACAGCAATAGGTTACGCTGACTTTGAAAACAAATGTGTAAGAGCCATGTCTCCTTGAGTGGACAGAGCAAGACAGAAATTGTCAAGAGCCTACACAAGAAGTCACTTGCTATGATTCTATTAGCACCTACCTCCCAGCATTGCTGTGAGGATGAAAATGAGATATTTGTAAAGCACTTAAGATAAGGCCTGGTGCATAGTAGGTGTCTGATAACTGCTTATTAATTTTTTTTTAACTATCCAGCTTCTAGAGAAGCAAAAGAAAATGCTAGAGGGAACAAGAAGGATAAAGGGCACTATTTCTTCAGAAGTCTACCATTTCCTTTTGCAACTACATGTAGAGCAAAGGTCCTTAGCCTAGGGTCAGTGAACTTTAAAAAATAATAATTTAATGACTGTACTTCAATATAATTGGTTTCCTTTGCAATCCTATTTTTTTTATGTTATACATTTTAAAACATCATCCTGAGAAGAGGTTGATAGGCTTCACCATGGCACAAAGAAAGGATAAGAACCCCTGATCTAGAAAGACCACTCTGATTAAAGTGTATTTGAATGCTGAAATAATTTTATGCAGACATAATCGCAATGACAGCTTTTATTTCAACTCATATAGTCTGTGATAAAATGTTCAGACAACATCTCTTTATATCATCTCTTTCTATACCTTATTTTATTTTACCTGTACACAAGATTGAAAAGAAAAATAACACGCTACAATGAAATTGCTTTTCTTTGCAATCCATCACAATGGAGAAAGACTTGCAGATGGTCCAAAATATAAAAAAAAATTGTTGTTTTTAAGTTACTGAAAGTTAACTTAAGTGCCCTGATCATTATGTCACCCAATTTCTTTTGTGATAGAAAAAACTCTGAGTTAGAAAAAAAACCTAATGCCTAGTTTCTTACTTTGCAAAGCATCTCATTTCACAGCATGTGGGTCCAATGAAATAAACCCGTGAAAAATTAGCTAACCGGCCCTCCTGATTGATGGAGCACTAGCATCCGTAGCCAAGGCAATAAAAATACAGTGACTAATTCAACTGTTTGAAAATATATATATATGAATGGAGAAAAATACCAAGCAAAAACTAGATATACAGACTTTAGAATGTACCCTGCAGGCTCTCAAACTTGGACCTCCATTGACTTCCCAAAAGAAGCCAATGTAGATAACTATATACAAATTTAGCAAGCCCATCTTCACTGCCATTTTGGTTGAGTACCTCACAGCACTAGATCCCAAAATATTTAAGTCTTTATCAGTACACCAAATGATTAAATCATCTGAATTATCTGAGAGATAGAGGCTACATTCTCTCCCTCTCTCCCCCAGCTCAGAATTAATCAATCCATCAAGCTGAATTTAATATATCTTATTACTTTCTGTAACCTGCTGAACACTGTAAAAGGAATGTGAGTTTCTATTCACTGTTGCAGGCTTAAAGGTCATTGTATAACTATTTTTTTTAATCAAAAGTGTTCTGTCTTTGTTCATTTTGTCAAAGAAATTCATTTTCCAAATTTAAGATGACAAAATGCCTTGTTTAAAATTACTCCTTTCTGAGGCTCAGGTAATTAGAATTTGTACAATTCAATTAAACAATTCTGTCTAAAATATTTTTGTTGTTAATATATGTTCATTCATATAAAAAGACCAATTGTGTTCCCAAAGTTGAGGGAACCAAGCTACCCATCTGTATGTCATTTAGTACAAGAGAAGCAACTGCAGGTTTAAATTACATGGTATTGGATTGCAATTTCCTAACATTGGATGCTTTTCTGCTTTTTTACCTTGAGTCATTACTAAGGAGTGTTCATAAAAAGTAGCTTAAAGCACAGATGCTTGCAAATCATTTAGGCAAAGATGTTTCTTTCTTTCTTTTTTTTAGAAAAAGAATAATACTGTTGGTCACTATTGACTAACCATATCAAGTATTTCTAAGAGGAAAAAAAGGTAAAATTGAAAACATCTGATTGAAGTAAATAATGCAAACATAAAAAGCTTTACTAGCGAATGAAGGGTATTGAAGAGACTTTATTTCATAGATTAGAAATTACTTTTGATCTAAACATTCTCAAAAACAGATTGTTTTCCACTATGAACCATCTCATTAACTGTTCCACAGAGCCCTCATTTTAATGGCAAGCTCTGAAAGTACTGCTGTACTCTTTTGTTAGCCTCAATCTTTTTGGGGAGGGGATAAAGATTTCATTCCAGGTTTCTTTGTTTGTCTTTCAAGAACCACTAAAGCAGTATTCACACAAATTTTGTAGGAATGCGCCCTGTGTCATAGCCCACAAATTATTTGGTTTCGGTGCACTTAAAGGTCACCTTCCAAATTAGTGAAATTTTCCTTCATCCTGGCTTTTCAACTTTAAATATAAATATTGTTTCCTAACTGTAAGTGAGATTTGTTCTCCAAGAAATTCTATTGCTTATTTAAAGTTGTCAACTTTTTCTTTTTGTAGGTTTTTATTCTCTGGTAATGCTGTTTCCTAAAGTAACAGACCTTTTAAGGTATATTTAGCAGTGAAAGGAAGTATGCGTATGTTAGAAATGATTTTCGTGTTGTTATACCAGACAACTCAATGAGATGACTGTATATTAAACCAATTCTCCAAAGCAAATCTTATTATTAATAACTTCCTGAGCAGTAACTAACTTCAGTAAGCTGCTACAGAACATCACTAACAAAAATTCATGATAAACATTGACTTGATCACTTTATTGCTGGTCCTGGGGTTTTTTGTATTGTTTTGGTTTTTTGCTAGACTTCTTTCTTACTATTTTGGCAAAACCCATGTAATGCCTTTGCTAATTCTGAAAAAAGCCATCTCCTTTTAAAAAATCCCATAGCAATTCATTCACTGGGTGTGTTCCCTTCCTCTCCTGTTGTTTTTTTTTTTAAGTATCTTCACTCTGACACTATAATTCTGTAATTTTTCAGGGAAGCTTAACTGAAATAATAAATGAGAAAGCATCTGATTCATAACCTTAAAACCAGCTTAGAAATCTACAAAAAAAAATTTGTTTTCTTATTTAATAATGTACTTTGCAACTCACAAGTGGCTATGCACATATATGTAATTTACTCTGTAATACATATCCTCTGCAGTGAATTAGGTATAGAGACTTTCCTAGGTTTTGGGGTTTTTTTTTTTAACTAAAAGGACATTCTCATAAGGAAGTTTCTCCTTTATGGTGACCCTATGTCATAGACGTGAATTTGGCATTATACCAAAGTCCCGGTGTGTCTAATTAGAAGTCAATATACATAATTTTCACAGGCAAAAAAAAAATTATCTTTTTATCCAAATAACAATTATCAAGAATACAGTCTTGGTCAGATTACATTATATTTGGTGTACTGTAAATCATATTTTAATGTAGTAAAAGACTTTTTTAAATAAATCTTGCCCAGAATAATATCCTCAAACTTAATCTTTAAAAAATACATATCCTGTTAAAATAAGTCTTAGAATATTTAGAGAACAAAGACACTACAATTAACCTGCTTATTCAATGTAAATTACATGGTAATTTTCAATGTTGAATAATGTCATAAAAACATTAAGATCAAAAAGGGAAGTGAAATCAGTGATGGTTACAGAGCATCCCACTGAATGATCAGTTTTTGTATAGTAAATTAGTTTGTCAATCAACCAACCCTTATTTTCTCTGAATTAGTTCCCTGAGCATTTCAGTCAGTGATGAGATTCAAACAAGATTTTCATATGATCTAGAAAACCTTTGAAAGCTTAACTTTGCATCCATAAGCAAATCAGAGCTATTGCCTAATCTTAGGTGTGCATCTCAGTTTTATTTCCTCTATTTCAATGAGAAATAAAGAATTCCAATAATTAAGCATTTCTTCAAGATAATATACACACAACAGACTCCTTTTTATTTTGCTATGATCTTTAAGTTTACTAATGGCGTTGTAAATGAAATTTTTTAATGTTATGCCTAAGAAGTATAAGATGTGATTTCCATTGTAATTCCCAATTTTTTGAAGTTTATTAATTGATCACATTCTCCCTTTAGAAGGAACAAATATCTGTTCCAAGCTGCATCTTGTTATATCTGAACTTTCTTAGTGCTATCTAAATAAAGAGAAGAAAATAAAAGTCAAATCCAGTCCATTTTTAGAATGGAAGAATGTAAAATACATACTGTGACCTAGGATGCTTTTTTTTAAAACATTCCAGTAATTCAAGAAAGACTACAAAAAATTCCAAGTATGGGAGTGAGGATTTGGAAGG